TATATAATGCCATACTTTATACATACAAAACATGTTTATACTCTGTGAAAATCACAATTTGTTATAGTTAAACTAACAGATTCGATTATTCATACCCGTTTATATGAAACACCCCCAACGAAACCATGGTGGATGTGAGGAATTTCCATATAATTGGGACCATAGAATGGGGCTGTTGAATTAGGGGAAAAGGGATGGTAGAATCCCTCCATATCGCCTCACTTTTCAGGCCATGGCCATGTTTGGGAAGGATTTTCCCTTCGCCAGGACGGAACGGATCAGGATGTGAGCTATGCCTACAGCGGTCGGTCTCCCAGAGCCGAAGGGATGGTGAGAACCGTTATTGATGGCTGACATCTGGTTATATACTGTAATGGTGAATGGTTTTTTATATATCGAATGGCGAATAATTGCTGATGAATGGTTTAAAAACATTGAATAATAGTGATCCAGTGGTTTTAGAGTGGGTTACCTTAGGGTAAACCAACAGTTCGATGTGGAAAATCAACATTTGTAGACGATTTTCCGAACGGGAAAATAGGTTTACCAACTCTATGTTGGTTTACCCTAGGGTAATGTCTTAAGAAGAACATGTTTCTTGGTCGGAAATCTCTAGGAATATGTGGCTTCCAAAGTCATGGGGAAGCCCGACATCATCCGACATCGGTTTAGGGCACCCCAAGTTTGACAAACAACCGCTTTACCAGCATATATGATGATCTTAAGAAATAAACATGGGATATTCATGGATATTCTCCAAGCTGGTATATAGCATTTTGGGTACAGGTTGAGATTCAAGTCCCGGAAAATCACACTGAATCAAAAACTTGTTCATTCAGCTTTCCCGTTTAGCTATAGTAAACCATTCCTCTTTTTGCAGGGTACCATGGGGTTCCCAAATTTTGCGCTAAATCACGGGATGTTCCCTGGTGTGACAAGACCACTCTGAAGGGAATTATTCTTGGTAGAAACCTCTGGGAAGGTTTTTGAGGGAGGTTTGTTTTGACCCCCAAAAAAACAAGCCGTTCCATTTGTTGCTCAATTTGCACAGGATTTTTAGGTCACGTCACCATGATGTGTTACCTTGTTGACTTGGTGATCCATGATGAGTTTTCGAACAAGCAATGCTTGGAGCGCCTGTCATCAACTGCTTAGTGCTTCCAAATCAGTCCAAAAACTGGTAAATGTATGTACCGGTTAGAAGATCTATGTCTAGTGAGCATAGCTCCACTTTTGGACACTTGAGCGTGATGAATGTCCATTCTGCTCTTTTTGCCTTTCCTGATGATATATCTGATGTGTACAATGTCGCGCCTCCCCATTTACGTTTGTTGGTTCTTAAGCAATACATATATATAATCATATATATATACATATATATATTATATCTACCATTATCTACCATGATAGAGCCTAGTGAAATATGTGTGAAACCGTGAAACCAACTTAGCTAATGCTGGGACACCACCTTCGTTCGGGCTTTCGAAACGAAGGCTATGCTCCTCTGAGCGTTCGCTTGGTGCAGATGACCAGGACATGGGAATGATCCACATTTCTGGTGGGTTTTCCATCTTTTTGGAGGTTTTTTGAGAGGATCAAACATGGGTTAAGAACCCTGGTTTTAAGTCTCCCAGAAACAGTAGGTGATCCCACAAAAAAAGTCGCCTCTCAAGGGGTTTGCAACCCCAGAAACACGAAGCAAAAGCACTAAGGGGTAGCTAGAAACAGCATTTTGATGTTGTTTGGGATATAGCTGCTACTACCCTGCAGATGAACAAAGCGGATTTTGGCATGGCCTTGTTCTCGCGAAGGAGTCAACCAAAGGGTTGGATCGCAGTGAAAGATGTGGGGTGGCCGAGTTTTTTTGGCTGTCAGGTGGACCAATCATTTAGATTTTTTTACAGATGAATTAAACAGAAACAGAAGTGATAAAGCCCAACATAATGGCGAAATAATGGCGATACTAAGGGAACATCATTGAATGTATAACCAACAATATGACTGGGGTTTGCCCAAACTTTGCTAGATTGACACCTAAGAAAGTGTAATTTTGACGGCAAAGAATATGGAACAGCATTATGGAACAATTATGATCAACCGTGCAATTTTGGGATACCCTGCGGGAATCAAACATGGCAATTGAACATCCCCCATTGATAGTTGATTTTGCCACTACAGGATGGTGCTCTCCAGTTATAAGTTATAAACGCCATTAACTATAGTTCTATCTGCCATAAACCATAGTTATGGGAGTTATAAACCAACTTAGCTAACTATGGGGCACCACCTTGTAGAATCATTCAAAACCTCCATGTAGATCGTATTTCCCATTGCCACGTTGGATTAGTGGAGGGCACCACATTTTTAGAAAACCACCGGACGAAAATCCACGACTTCGAAATCTTGGGACCTGCCTATCGGCAGTAGAACATGGGTTTTCGGTGGCTACTTGGATGTGCATCACATTGACCAAGGGAGAAAGCATTTTGCATTGTTCACCCAGTTTTTGGGAACACGCCCCCAGAATCCACCAGAAATTATTTTTGTTACCCTGGAATACACAAATACACATACAAAAAGATGTGGAAAACCCATGGCTTCCCATTTGGACAATGATCTACATTGGTGGGGTTTCACATATATATATATATATTATATATATATATATTATATAATATGTTCGTTTACAGGAGGGTCAGTTGCCGGTTAGCAACTGGGGCAGTTTCGTTCCGTTTCTGCGGGCCACGACACGGCCTAGGCACTGAGTTTGCTTCACGGACCAGCACAGGAGCGGCGGAGCGGCGCTGTTGAAGCACCTTGGAGGATCATCCCAGAACTCGTAAGTGGTTTGGAACTGGGCTTATAACCCAGTTATAGATCTGGGTAAATTATAACGACCTCACTGCGACCTCACTATAATGGTAGTTAGTAAGAGGAATCATCCCCAAATGGCCGAACTATTCAGGTTAGTGAAATATGATAATTTACCCAGATAGATGGGATGGCAGCAGTTTTTTCGACTTCCGAATACGAGGGTTATGAATTCACCACTGGTATGATCCTCCAAGTGGGATGTTTTTTTTTTGCTGCGGCATGACCAAATCCCATCAGCTGGTGAAAAGAACCATAGTTGTCACGAAAAAAACGGCAAGGACGGTTGCTGCAGTATCAATGGCTGGACTTAGTCAAGGGAAAATCTACCGTTGAGACTGTGAGATGACGCCCACAGACAATATTACAACAGCCATTGGCTTCCAGGAAAGAATTCATGAAACTATGTGCTTGGAAACCACGCATTTTTCGAAGGTTTTCTTTTACTTGTGTTTTTTAAAGTTTGAGTATGAGATCACCAACAAGACTCCGGGTTGAATCCTCGAGACCGTGGCCATTTTCCGCTCGGCTATTCAAGATGGAAAGATCTGGATGTTTCAGCTACCATTTTTGGGACATGTCCAGCACTGAGGTCCCCAAGAAATATTTCACGTCCTCAACTAAGAATATTTCAGCGTTTCCATTCATATGCTTCAAATATGTTCATTTACGAACATTTTCACACTATACATCCCCAACCAACTGGATAGAACATCAGGGAAAAATCCATGGGAAAATCCTTTACCCTCTGGCTATGACTAACATAGCCATGGTATAGATGGCCCATAGAAATAGATGGTTTACCTATTAATAGCATGGTGATTTTCCATGGCAAACTGTTAGCCATAACCAGATGGTAGTCTTTTGCATTGGAAAATCACCAGCAACGTTGTGATCCTGCAGGGTCCACCATAGAGATGAATGAGATGCTTCCCAGCCATTCCCAGACTTTGAGCTTTTTTGGGGATCATGGTGCCCGAAATGATAAACGAACTAACGTAACGAACTGGAAAGATCCACCATGCTATTTTTGGCATACCTCACTATTTCGACTGGGCCATGTTCAATAGCTAACTTTGTATGTTTACCAGATGGTAAATCCCATTAATATCCCATTGAATCACTACAAAATCCCATTAAAAAATCCCAGGCCGGGTAGTTTATACCTGATGACTTGAAGTCGGATCCCATGATTTAAAACATGAAAAAAAACATTGATGGAGTCGTCACGAATCGTCACGAAAAAAGATCACGAATGATTCATGGCTCGAAATTTTCTGCTTTGTAGATCCGGATTCATTTTGAACACACATCATTTGTAATCCAAGATTGTGAACAAAAACATGCTTTGTAATCAATAATCCCAATCATAATCCAAATACATCCAAGCAATGTGTAAAAAACCGCCATTTTTGTCATCCCCATGGATATTTTCATGGGTGAAAAATCCCACAAATCATCCCGTGGTATGAAAAAGGCACTGGATCCCACCCAGGAGCTTCAACAGCCCGCGGTGCGAGAGTGCGAGACTTCAGAACCGGGAACTGGGAGTGAAAAACGACAAAAATATATGGGTAAATCATGGTAAATCCAATGTGAAAATGGGCGAGTGCCTGATTCATGTTGATTTTTGGATTCTTGCATTGCAGGAACTGAAGTTAACAAAATTGTAACATGATTAGTATAAATTGATCATATCCCCCCAAACAAACATTCGTTCAACGGTGGGTTTCAACCATGGATCGCTAGTCGACGAAAGATGATTCCAGCGGATGAATTGATCGTCGATAAAACTCTCAGGGTATTCCCATCTAAAGATGATTTATCATCAAATGGCGAAGAAGAAAAAGATGGTCGGTAAGTCTCATTTACTGTATCAATCATTACTGGTTGGTGGTTTGGAACATGATTTTTTATGACTTTCCCATCATATTGGGAATGTCATCATTCCAACTGACGAACTTCACTCCATGATTTTTCAGAGGGCTAGGTTCAACCACCAACCAGAATTATCATATAATTATATATAATTATCATTAACATCCATTTTTCAACAGTATATCAACAGTATATCAACAGTATGCCAAGCACCAAGCAGTTATGGTGTTTGATTCTCCAATTTTGGACTCATGGACTCACCAGGGACGGGGATCCGGGATGATCAGGCAGGACCCAAGGAAGCCGCAGCTGGTGCTGGTCTGCTTTTTAGGCGCGACGGTCTCTTGAGGGGGGGCGATTCAAAGAGAGGATACAATTTTTTGGGCTAAGATAGCTAAGCTGGTGCGAATCACTAGTCCAATTTTACGCTTTTGAATGTTTATGATACTTATAACTTGTTGTATTCACCCAGTTGTACGATGTTGCAAGTTGCGTCCAGCTATACAGTGTGTGGATTTAGAATGATTTAGATAATGCGTGTGGAACTTGACTGAAGCACCCTGTCAGCTGGATTCATGAAGAGTTGAATATAACGGAAAGACATGCTCTTTCAAGGGTTGATCTAGGATTATAAGAAGATAAAATTGGACTACCGTCATTTTCAACCCAGCTTGGTGAGTACCAAAATGAAAAATGAATACAAACAAACTTCACCCTAAGAAGAACCCTAAAAAGATCCCGCCATTGTTTGTTGCTTGTAGTTTCTAGTAGCACCCAAAGAGATAGAATTTGGTAGCATCCGAATCCAATCCTAAAATAGTGGTAAATGTATGTAAATGTCACATCTGTTCAATGGAAATTTCGGGATTAGTTCAATCGTTTATAGATCTGGTTGGTGGTTTGGAACATGATTTTTATGACTTTCCATGTATTTGGAATAATCATCCCAACTGACTTTCACTCATATTTTTCAGAGGGGTAGGTCAACCACCAACCAGAATTATCATTAACATCCATATTAACAGTATATCAACAGTATGCCAACCACCAAGCAGTTATGGTGTTTGATTCTCAGAGGGGTAGGTCAACCACCAACCAGTAGATGAATGCCGATTTTCCAAGCTCCATTCAAAGAACATCTCCCAGCCATGAGGACACATGCATGGCTTGTTTGGAGTCGTTTTCGTCACATCCTGTTTCCAGTCCTAAAGTAGTGGTAATCTTTGCGTTTTCTTTTAGTGTTAGTTTAATCATGTTTGATTATCAGAGGGCATATCCCAGCTGATTTCAACATCACCATCCTTGACATCTTTGTCATCTTTGATGATTGGAGGTCTTCTTTGTTTTTTTTAAAGAAAAGTCAGCAAAGAATGTTATCTCTACTGTCTCTTTTTTGTTCGTGTAATCATGTTTTTTTCGGGAAAAATCCAGCACTCGGAAAAATCTCATAAAATCCCATGAAATCCCATGAATTTTCATGAACTCCCATGAAAATCTCATCAAATGCCATTCTCCAGGAGGCGTGACCTACGGAGAGATTGCCGCACTGCGACGCCTCGCTCAGCTGGAAGAAGGGCGGCGGAGGCGAAGCCACAGCGAAGCCACATGGGGCCAGGGGATGGGGAACTTGTGACACAGTTCCTACGGATTGCATGTGATTTTCCATGGGATTCGATGAGACTTTATGGGATTTGAATGGATTTGATGGGTCTGAAAATTGGGATTATTTTTTGGAGATTCACAACTGCTGGGAATATCCCCAAATATTATATATATATAGAAATGCAAAGAGGCTGCTCAAATAGCTAGATGTGGTTTTCATACTGTAACCTTGCTGGCCGCAAGTCCACACTTCCTGGAATTATCCAGTCTTTTCTGGGTAACAACATGTAACAACCATACTTACCATCCACCTTTTCGGGATGAATCTGCATCAATGTGCATCGTCCATTGTGGCTCTCCACCAACCAGAAAAGTTTCAACACTGCTTAAGTTACCCGGCCTGGTAAACGTTTACATTACGAACTGGAAAATCACCATTTTTAATCGGAAAAGTCACTATTTCGACTGGGCCATTTTCAATAGCTTTTTATATGTTTACCAGGCCGGGTACGTCTGAGGCAGTTTTTGAGGTATAATTATGGGTATTGACCATACTTTCTCAGGAAGGACTTGGATTTCATAGGGATTGCTATTAGTTGGTCAGTTTTATTCGGCTTTAAGTTGCTACCAATGTTCTGCTTCCTTGATATGCATCGGTGCATGACCGAAATCCACGAGCATTAGCCCTTACGTGTTTCAATTTGTTGTATATTTTCCGCATCATCGTCTGGAACGAGGAGCTCTAAATTCATGCTACCATCCCCCAAATCTACATCAACAGTTGGACCCTGAACATCGCCCAAATTTTGGGTAGAAATTCATCTTCCAACCCCATCTTCTAAGTCCCCCAAAATGGCAGGGTCTATGTGAATTTTGGGGGAGCCAGGTTCCTGATCGTGACCTCGGAGTACATCAATCCCAAGAAACTCTTCGTTGGGACCACCCAGGGGATTTTTTGTTGCAGGCCATGGAGGAGAAACGCCAGCCACATTTAGAAGATAGCCTCCAGTAAATTAACATGGACCCTGGCAAATAGGGATTGGAAGATTCGTTTCCACTCGAAAATTCTTGTTTTCAGGGTCAACAAGTTAATTTACCAGAGGGTAACTTATAAATGTACTGGAATGTGATATCACTATAGTTATAGGCGAAAAATCAGCCACATTTTAGGTGACTCCACCCGCTTATAAGTTTGTCAACAAACTTATGTGGATTTACAACGATCATTGGGATATTTCGTGCAATGTGTAGCCAACATATGCCAATATATGCCGACATGATATTTGGGTGTGTCTGAAAATGGGATATATACATGGGTACATGATATACCCTCTAAATGGCCATATTGTAGGGGGAATTGATGATTAAGCATTGGATTTACAGGTACCTTATTTGAAGACAAGCAATATTTTTCGATATATTCTCGATGGGAATCCCCCCTAGTCTTCGCCATTTCCATTCGTTTTTAATGGGTGAAGACCAATAGACCCTTGGATTACTGGGGGTACACTAATTCGGACGAATCCGCTGCGTTCCATTGGTCACTTTGAACTGGTCCTGTAGCACGGCCAGTGTATAGCCTGGAGTAGATACGGGTAGATCATTGAAGATCCCCCATCGGCAGATACACATCATATTGTTTGTGATATACGTATACATGATGGTTCCCAACCATTCCCTTAGACTTTGAGCTCTTTTGGGGATCATGGTAGTTTATACCTGATGACTAGAAGTTAAACTTTTACTCAGGGAGCTGGGAACCAACCAGTATATATATATATATACAGTATACATAATACATACGTGTATATATATATATACACATGATATTATTATATATGCAATTATATGCATTATCTCAATATATATATATATAATATGTATCCGGTCCTATCATATCCCTATTGTATCTCCATGAACATTACATCCCCATTGTATCCCTATTACATCCCCACGATATCTCCATTGTAGTATTCTCATTAAATGATCGCTTTTATACCTCACTACAGGTACGTTACATCACAATCTCAACAGATACCCTCTGGTTAGTTCGTTTACATAACGAACTGGAAAATCACCATGTTCAATGGGTAAATCCACTATTTCAATGGTCATTTTCAATAGCTATGTAACAAATTACCAGAGGGTAGATGAATATATCTGAGATACTACATCACCCATAGATGACTAATATAGTAATATAGTGATTAATATCGTATTGTTACTATATATGGTATTTTACACCCCCATAACTTTGTTGCTTTGATTCTCCACCGAGGGGTTGAGTCCCAGTTAAGGCAATGACCTCCCAACAGGTGCATCTAAACACGGATTTATGGATCCCTTGGGGATGCAGTTGACCTGATGTTCATGAAATATCATGTATCCCAACAAACATGATATAACATGATATAACATGATAAAACATAAACATCTCCATGAGTCGAAAAACAGACATGAAACAAAGCGTAAAAAACTTCGAGCGCGTCATCCCTCGAGGAGTCGATGCGCTGCGAGGCGGTGCTGAATTTACCTCCGCTGGACGCCACCAAAACGGCCGCCAGCGGTGAGGCGCGGCGAGGCTTCGGAGGGTCTGGGGGCCCAGTGCCAGGTGGGGCGCGGGACTGGGAAAATACAAACAAAAAGGGGTGAAATTCCGTGGATTTTTTAAAACAACAATTTATATCAATTTTAAAGTTGGGGTCTTCAATTCAATCTATATATATATATATACATATAGGGAGGATAAAGTATATGGCGATTGAATCGGGATTTGTTTGGACGAAAAAAAAGACCTCAGGACGCGTCCCTTTCCAGATTTTGTGAATAGCTGTAACTCAGTCAGAGGTTGAAGAGTTGGTTATGCTTAGTTTCGTCCTCATTGTTGTTGTTGTTGTTGTTGCGGTTGTTGTTGCGGTTGTTGTTGGTCTCCAAGATGAAGGGAAAATCTGAGCAAGTTGTTGTTGGATCACCACATCAAGGCCATCAAGGTCTGAAGTATTCAGATTTGGCAAATTCCTCCGGATTGTTGGCATTTTTGTTGGTTTCTTCTCCAGTCCAAACTGTCGATGTTTCGGAGTGTGTCCAAAATGGGCAAAATGGCCCTGTTGAAATACAATTCATACAATTCCCGATTTTGATGTTGGTTCTTGATATTGCCTGCATAGGCACTTGGGGCACTTGGGGTGAGGCATTGACACTTGTTTGGGGTCCAACAAAAATTGTGGATACCCAAAGCCGAAAGCCATCATTCTCCTGAAATATATATATATATATGTCATAAATTAGATATTGCAACAAGCCAGCGGATTGGAGTATCACTCAATTTTCAAAGCCAGATTTATTTCACAATTTAACCTTGATGGCTTCAAACATGTTGATTTATGTTGATCTTTTTCCATCCCCAAAAGGTTGTCACTGGATGTGACCACTAGACTAGCAACGCTGCCTTGGGTGTACAAAGCCATCGAGATCGGGCCCAGAGGTCACATTGAGGTAACCTAGCAAGTTTTGGAGGTTACTCTCTGGTAAATTAATAGCTCGACCCAGAAAATAAGCCATTTTTAGCGGAAACTAATCTTCCAACCCCTATCTGTCAGGGTCTATGTTAATTTACTGGAGGCATACTGGAGGGTAAGACCCATCAAACCACATATTTTGGTCATGTTTAGCCCTACTGTTTGGGAATCCAACACATCCGCATCCATCTGCTGCGGAACTCTAGGTTCTGGCCCACCGCGAGATGATGAGTCGTGAATCTGGAGGAGGTAGGTCGAAGGGGGTGAGGATGTGTTTTTGGGTGAAAAACGTTGCGGGATTTAAGCATCAAGACACTGTGATTTCATCAGAAAATATGGAACTTAAATATAACACATCATAAAACATAATAATAAAAACAAATTGGGATTGAGCCATCAACAACAGGGAATCAATCAACGAAATCAGTATTGAAACAACAAAGCAGATACCCTCTGGTAAATTAACATAGACCCTGGCAGATAGGGGTTGGAAGACTAATTTCCATTAACAATTGGCTATTTTCAGGGTCTATGTTTATTTACCAGAGGGTATATGTGATAAACAAAAATGGTGGTTCAACACTTAGGAATTGGAATTTTTCATCGACAACAATGGGGATTGAAGTCGCAAAGACTTCTGCAAGATGGTGCACAGTGTCGATGAATCTCCAATCCCACAGTTGGGCCCAGGAAAACAAACCAACTAACTAACAAACTTTCCTATCTTGGGGACCCCTTCTTGCAGATGTCCCCGGGTTTTGGGGAGTTAAACTTTAGTTGACCTGCTGCTTCGACAGAGTGGTGAATATTCCTCCAAGAAATGATATTTATATAGTTATGTGTGGAGGAAACATCAGAGAACACCATTTTTGGATCTGGAAAAAGATGGGGTGTCCCAACCTTGCCCATTGGAAATGCACTGCACGGTGATGATACACGATTGGAATATCATTGGTTTCGGGTCCAAGCCCTCGAGCATTCCACCAATTGTGTGAACGGACATCGCCCATGTCAACCGCAGTGCCGCCCTGCGAAACATTACCCCTTCCAATTTTTCAGACCCTGCTCCCTCCAATCCAAAGCTTCAAAAAATGGGCATTCCACATCATTCCACAGTCTGAAATTCTTAGGGTAAGCAGGTGCGAAGTGATCTAAGTGGTATTGTCACTTAAATCCCCATGTTTTGTTACTTAAATCCTGATCAAATCCTTTTTTTGTTACGACCTTTATCGACCTTTCCAATGCTTTCAGGCGACCCACTGGTGCCGCCGCGTGCGGTGAAGAGGGTGGCAGAAAATGGCGCGTTTCGCCGCAGCGTTTTTTTGTGTGATTCGGACTGAGGATGGGGATGCAATCGAAAGTGGGCTATCAACGTGAGTCGCAAACCATTTTCAGTTCCTTTTTGAGGATTTTCAATTGTTTCAAACAGGGATGATGAAGCCAACGTTTTTTTTTTTCCCTGATGGATGTGGTTGACCATCAGTGGGGGTTGAGTTCTCAATGCATAGCAATTGAATGGAGAAAAGTAGGTTTGAAACGAAGTTTATTCGGGTAACAACGCCATTGACCACAAAGAATCACATTTTCCAGCCCACCATAGCCAATTTGATGAACCATGCAACATGGGCATGCCGAAATACCCAAATATATTGACAGTCAGCGGCTTAGCTTTGGGATATGTGAAGCTCTATAGAGTCAAAAGGCCTGTAGATTCCTGACTGCAGATGTGCTGATTCCATTTGAATCTATCAATGCTTTCTTGCAATTTTCCTCTGAACAAGTCCCTAAAGCATCTATAAGACAATTCTGAGTGAAAATCTGAGTATAGAAGTGTGACATTTAGCCAGAAGATCAGGATATATCAGGAGGATCCAGGGCCTGAAGCCATGAAAAACCGTTTTTAATGCAGTGGGTTCCTGGTTCCTGATGGCTTCCTGTACATTTTCCCTTCCAATCGGACCCTTGGATCATCCTGGGATGGGCTCAACTAGCCCGGGTTCCCCGCCGCGCAGAACCAATGGAGCCCCATCTACGACATCTCAGCCATTCTGACTTCCATTCAGGTGGGGAGGTCCGGAGGGCCATTTCAGGTAACTTGGAGTCACAAAAAAACAAGGCCTATGTAAAGGGATAAAAACCCCAAAATATATTATGTTTATGTGGTACTAACGTACCCCATTTTAGGATCCTGAAGTTCCCAAGATAAAAATACAGCATTGATATGTATTAATGGATTCTAGGGGGGTTACTACCTGGTTTATTGGTGGTAATTGTGATCCATCATAGGGTACCAGTACCCAACAAACAACGGTATTATTTTCATCACATGGGATGATGGGAGATAATTTTGCAAGTTTTTCACGGCTCACCTTGCAATGTAAAATTCATCTGTGGAGGATTTTCCTTAACACATATGATTTTCCCAGCCATGTTGATGTTGATAAGTGGAGGGCTTCTCTCGTGAAATACATAGCCTTCACCTGCGAAAGATGCATCGAATGACCTCACCAGAACCTTGATAGAGATGATTTATGATGATGTCATTGGTAACGACCCCCAAATCCGTAGACGTTCGTATAGTTATATATGGAAAAACAATGAAAATTAAACCATCGTGCCACAGTTGAGGGCAACCCCTAAAATTCGAAATTCGATACTTTTTGAAGCTTCACGCATTTTCCCAGGGAAATTCAGCTTTCCGCCAACATTGCCGCTGAGTCCTTGTTAATGGATCCGAACCCCAACTCGCCGGCGAATTCCGAAGCGGCGAAATTGTGGCCTCTGGGCGAATTACGCAGGGCTGTGGGCTGGGGATGGAGAGACCTGGGCAATGGCCTAAGGCATCCACCAATGGGGTGTTCAACCACATATGGCTACGAGTCTAGCCATGTTTCTAGCCGAATTATATCAAAAATATCCGATGATCAAAAAAGATCCCCGAATTTTGAAGCACCCCCATATGGAACTATGTGTTTGTAGGGTTGTATGAGCCAGGTCTTTTTTTTTTTAATGGCTTCCTCATGCAACGCGGGAAATCATGGGGATGCTCCTTTGATTCTCACATCACAGCTGACTATATAATCTTGAAATCCCCTGCGCTACATGGAGCTTTCAATGAGAAAATCATGAAAATCATGACTCGGTCCAGGTTGCATCCCTGTGAACATCTGTGAACCATGCTCTGAAAACAGACCCTGCGACATCCTGCGATCACTTGCGACCACTTGCGACCCTGCTCCCAGGCCCCGACGCTTCAACAAAAACTCAGCAGTTCTAATAGCTATGGAAAATCACCATTCTTAATGGGAAAACTCACTATAAATGGCAATTTTCAATAGCTATATATGTTAAATTACCAGAGGGTAACATATATATATATATGTAATTATATATATCTGATTGGTGGTTTGGAACATGAATTTTATTTTTCCACAATATATGGGATAATCCTTCCCAACTGACGAAATCCATCATTTTTCAGAGGGGTAGGTTGAAACCACCAACCAGATGAAAATAGGGTCTCCGAAAATCCAATGGTTCAGCATAATTTCTACTATTAAACTGCCAAAAATTGGGGGGTCAACCTCCCATTTTCAGACACAGCCATGAATGTTGATGAGTATCATTGATTATCCCCATATAGCATATGTCTTCATTGGTTGGTTTAAATCCCAATACCATTACATCCCCATTTTGTTGGTTTAAAAATCATGACGTCCCCGCCCGTTTGTTGCTAGAAAAATCCCATGAAATCCCAATGTTTGTTGATCAACAAATCCATCATGACATCCCCAAGTTTGTTTGTTCTCACCCCCAACAGTTCTTGGTTGAGATATTTGTTGATGAGACATATCCCTGTGGAAAAAAGGCCACGAATTTTTCATGTTTTCCCAGGATTTGCCAGCCACCTTTGATGACACCGGGTAACCGTAGTTGTAATCACTAAATGTTCATGGTTATTCAGAATATTCGTTGTTATATATATATATAACTCATAATTGGACCCAGAAAAATCACACCCAAGATGGTCATTCATGGTTATTTATGGTTATATATTTATATAAGACTCATAATTACACCCAGAAAAATCCTAGTTTATATATATATATATTCATAGTTATAACTCATGGTTTTATAGTTATATAACCCCAAGATCCCCAGCACATCCCAGCACAATTTCACTCCATCATCGTCCTAGGTCGGAGAACCGAAGAGAATACAATCGTCGAGTCACTGAGATTGTCGAGGTGGGACGTTTGTCGGACCTGTCCTGGGAGGTTTCTGCCCAAAAATGGTGGATTTCGAATGGGATAATGGGAGTATTGGGACAGGAATATGATGGAAATTTAAGTATTGGGAGTATAATGGAAATGATATATATATATATATTATAATAATATGATATGACATAATGTAATATAATATAATATGATATGATATGATATACTATAATCACAGTAAATAATGATATTTCAATGGGATGATTCTTTGAGCTGTGGCTGCGATCTACCCCTGTGATGATCATAATTAATTCTGGGAATCCCTGGGTTGAGGGAGTGGACCTTCTCTACTCATTGAACAGCATTCAGAGTACAGGCCATGAATATATAATTTAATATGGCTATGGATAGTACAGGATGGTGCCCCCCAGTGATGTGAACGTTGGTTTATAAATCCCATGAAAACTAGTTCGTTATATCTGCCATAAACCATAGTGAAATGGGAGTTATTTGCACCAACTTAACTAACTATGGGGCACCACCTTGTATAATATTCTGTCCATTATCATTAGCTTTGATAAAAAACACGTTTTGGCACTTCAGTGATGAACTCCAGGTCATGCCATGAAGGCCCAGGAAGCTGCAGATTTTTTAGACATCCTGTGTTGAAACATGGCATTCTTGGAAAGAGCCCGTGGGCGCCCATAGAAATGGTACTCCAATGATATGCAGGTTTCTGGATGTGTTTCTTGACCAAATGGGGTACCCCCAAATCATGCAAGTTTTTTGACCACTGTGGTATTTACACTACAATGGTTTTGGGGTACTCCAAATTCTAAGAAACCTCCTGCCATGCCGGAAGCCTCCACAATCCACCCCTTAGATGGTCCATCTATGGCAAGCTGGAACAGTGATTTCCAACTTTTCAGTGATCATGAATCATAATGATCTAATTTTCTATTATTTTCATGTGATGTATAAGTATATATACATACATACATACATATG